TTGTTTTCTCTTCAAGCGTTCCAAGTGGGTTTGAACTGGTATTTAGTTTTAAATCCAAGTTTGGCTGACTCCATGTTAAAATTTTGAACCGGTTAGTCTTAAATCCATGTTTGGTTGTTAAAATTTTGAATTTGCACTTTGGTTGAGCACTCCTGGGAACCCAAAATTTTGAGTTTTAGAGAACTTAGGGGTTGTTCTTTTAGAGTGTAACTTAAGTGTAGTTTTTGAGTTATAACTTGAGTTGAAGTTAGAACTTGAATAAAGTTGAGTAAAATTGAATAAAATTAAAACTTAAAAGAACGTGAACTTGAATAAAGTTGAAACTTGAGTTGTATTTTTTTGAGTTTTATGGACAAAAGAACATGCTTAAAGTCTCCTGGCGTTTGGTTCATGGATTCAAACCATGTGATTAGAATTATTTTCGATTTACATGTATTTTTTGTGAGAGAAAAAACTGTAGCGAACCACGAACCATGATTCGAATCAAGGAACGAATCTAGGTACCAAACGGTTATTTTACCGATTCGAGTTTTCAATTTTATGTTTTTACAGTAAAAAACTTTCAAAAAATGTCACATCTAACTTTTTCTGCTATAGTGAAAAGCTTTAAGAAAATATCACATCTCAATTCGAATTAAAAACTCAAATTCATGAAGTGAACGAGGCCTTATTCTCCTTTAACTTCTCTTGAATTTGAACCTATTTGCTACATTTTTTTTTGTTCTATTTCTGAATTACTCACAATTATAACACTAACAAAACATTAAGGATGTGTTTGGCGTAAAGATCCGTATTATAGTTCAGATTATGATTTATGATTTGTTATAGTGTTTTCTCTCACAAAAAATACATATAAATTAAAAATAATTCTAAATTATGAATCTGAATTCATAAATTGAACGTCTTCTAATTCGTACTTTTATTTTCTGATGTGATATTTTATTTCTTATTTTAAATATATATAAGTTGAAACTCAAAGGTTTAAAATTACACGATTTGAACTCGCAGAGCTAATGGAGCAGGTATCTTTCTTCATCTTCATCTTTCTCTCTCTCTCTCTCTTTTTTTTTTTTTTCCTTTAATGGGTTGCATTATAGTTGAGAAAAAAACAAGAGAAAAGACATCAAGTTTGCTGGCGGTTCGGTCGTCTACTTAATGAGATATAGTCATGTTGTAGGGACATTGAATGGGATAATAGCCAAAGATTTGTTCTCATCACACCCACGTGATCTAGGCCTCCCTTGGCTAAGCGAAAAAAATGATGAAATTGCACACACACAAGTCAATGTGAAAGCCCAAATGGGTTGTTTTCCCCTTTGCAAAATTTATCACCCCAAAAAATTCATGAGTTAAAGATTTTAAGAGCTCCAACAAGTCCCTCGTAGAGAATCCTTAGATGGGTTTCTTTTCTTTTCTTTGTCAGATTTGTTTTCTCCTAGGAACATGTTCGAGAACTTGTGTCTGGTTTTGATCAAGGAAAAACAAAAACAAAAAAAAAACAAAAAACTTATGGGGGTTTTTCCCTTTCACGTCAGTTTACTACTACTATTACACTTGTCCGGTTTCTCCCCCAAGGCAAAGAGAATAGATCAGATAGTAAGTACTTAATGCCCACTTTACGTGGTTTGACAGATTTCTGTGTTGAATTAGGCTATGTATACAAAGTACCATTTTCTTAGTCTTTTAAGGTACAGTGTTTCAGACAAAAAACACATGTTGATTGTTGGTTGAACAGACTCAATCCTCAATCATAATCTCAGTAAGAATGAGTTTTGTCTGGTTTCCTTCTTTCTTTCCTTTTTTTTTTTTTTTTTTTTTTTTTTTTTTTTTTTTTTTTTTCCCCCTCTTTCGCTTCTCATTGACCTAAGAATTTCCAACCGCGGCTGCATTCATTTAACAACGTCTCTGTTGTCCCACATCGACATTCATGAATAACAACTTTTCGGCGATCTTGAATTTTACGCCTTTTTGCAATCTGGCGAAAAGCTGATAAAATCGGATCCATGTATATAAAAATTCAGTATCAAATGTGAAACCTTTGAAAACCCCAAAACTAGTAAGCTTGCTTTTGACTACTCTTTTTCCCCCTCGTTTTTAAAATGACATGGTTTAATATATAAGCAAAAAATAATTCATTCATGCCGGTTGCGGTGATATAATTTAAAGTTAGAGCAATCAAGTTTTTTTTTTTAAATAATAAAATAATAATAATAATAATAATAATAATAATACTAATAAAGTGGTGTGGAGACAACAAAGATGAAGCATACTAGGGCCACCAGTACTAATGTAGTAATGTCTTTTTTCCTCAAACTATTTGTCTTATAATTTATGAAAACTATGCGACTTTGATACATGATAGAAAATATTAAAAAGCTTGTTTAATTCAAAACTGGTATTGGAAGATGTCTTCATCCATTTGAACCGACACCCTTTTTGGCGTTACAGCTTTTAAGTGCGCAAATGCAGAAGAAGATCAGCTCTGTATAAATGCATTCTGCACTGTTTCCAACCATGTTTTATGCTTTCGAATGTTAGCCAAGGCCAACCAAATGATAAACTGATAGAAGACAATTCTAGAACATGGAAATAAAAAAGGAAAAAAAAAAAAAAAAACAGAGAGAGAGAGAGAAAGTGCAGAACAAGAGAATAGTGCTGTCGGTGGCACAAGAAAAACATATATAGGAATTGAAATAGCAAGAGATGATTCTTCTTTCAATTCAACTATGACAATAGAACTAAGAATAAAAAGACAAAAAAACTGTTGTAGTGTTGTTCTGTTGATAAGAAAAGACTCGCAACAATCCGTTTAATTTGAGTTGAGATATGATTTTGTGTGAGAATTTTTTACTGTAATAAAAAAATTAAATGTGACTGTTTCTGTGAACTTTTTATTGTAGTAAAATTTGAATTTTAAATTCAAATTGACGAAATGAACGGGACCATTATATTTTTATTATATTTTTGTTGAACTTAGCATGTAAAAAAGAGATTGCTTCAAAATCTGCTAAAGAGTTTCATTTCATGTATAATATACCATTTCTTTCACACGAAAGAGAAAAGAGTTTCACCATCTTTGATGTCCAACTTGGCACAGCTTTCTCATCTTCTACATAGAAGCAGGAATCATCTTAAAGCTTATAAATTCCAAAAGCTCCAAAATTAAATTGAAAATACAAATAATTAAAAAAAAAGGGTGACGTGTCAAGGAACTTGGTCTAATGGGACCAAAAGAAGCATGACTGACGGTAAGACACTCAATCTCTCTCTCTCTCTCTCTCTCCCTTTCTCTCTCTAAACTATTTCAGTGTTGTGTTATGTTCTGTCCAGTGATTGAGGCCAGGCTAGCATCTTTACATGATTGAGAGCGGGTCCCACATTCTCCCTCCTCTGCTCTGTCAACCCACATGCGGTCTCAATGCCCCATGCACTCCTTCACTTATTTTATTCCCTTTATTCTCCCATCACCCAAGCTGTCACCAAAACTCCATACCACCTATCACATTCTCTCCCCCAAAACCACTCCAAAGTCCAATCCAAAGACCTCCCTTTCACATACCACAATTTGGCATACTTTGATCAACTTTCTCCCCATTCTTTGGTCACACCACCGGTGAGGTTATCAAAACACTCCCTAATGTTCCTTTCTTCTCACCACTAATTGGTTTTCACGAAGTTGTAAGCAAAACAAGACATCACTGGCGTGTGCGATTGCATTTTTAACGTTCGTTTAATGCATTGATTCGAGTTTTAAATTTGAATTAAGATATAATTTTATATGAGAGTTTTTTATTGTTATAAAAAGTTAAATGTGATTATTTTTAAAAAATTTTTATTGTAACTAAACTTAAATTTTAAACTCGAATCGATAAAATAAACAGTTTCTAAGTTATTATCAATTTGAGTATAGATTTTGAGTTAAAGTTATAATTTGCGTTTGTGTTTAGATGTTCACATTTGAGTTATAGTTTAAATTGAGAGTCTATTTAAATTTGTGTTTAGATGGGTTAAAATTTAAATTTATATTTAGATAGTATTTTAATAAAAATTCAATAGTGATGAAAAATTTTAATAGGGTATATGATTGAAATTTTATTCGTCTTTTCGTTTTGAACACATAGAAAAAAATCATTTAAATCAGAATTAAAACGAAAAAGTTATTATGTTTTTAAGAATAGAAAAAATACTGTTAATTAATTTGAGTTTGATTTACGTGTATTTTTTATGAGAGAAAATACTATAACGAATCATGAATCATGATTCGAATTGAGATACGAATCTCCCAGCCAAACAACCTCTAAAATTAAAACTCAAATTAAAAAAAACATAAATTTAAATAAAATTATAACTTTTTCAATTTTTTTAAATTTTAATAAAAAAAACAGACCCTACAACACTGCTCCTAAAATATTTATTAGCCTTCTTACAATTTCAGTCTCTCTTTCTCTCTCTTCTCTTCTCTCTCTCTTCTAAATGGAGGGCCGTTTCAAACAATTGTGTCGGCGAGAGACGTTATTAATCATATTTGTATAGAGGGTAATTAGTGATCAGTGGCAATTAAGCCTCGTTCGTTTTGTTAATTTGAGTTTAAAATTTAAGTTAAGATATAATTTTATGTGAAAATTTTTTACTGTAATAAAAAAATTAAATGTGACTGTTTATGAGAATTTTTTACTGTAACAAAACTCAAATTCTAAATTCAAATCAGCGAAACGAACGAGACTTAAATATTCCCGTAATTTAGTATTTCCCCTTTTATATTCTAGTGGACTTTTCCAAGTTTTTGTTTTTTCCCTTCTTTATTTTTTCTATTTTTTGGCCGATGTACATATGGAAAGCTGTCATTTTTCCATTGTGGCAATATTTATTTAAAATTTCCTTTCTTGTATTGTATATTTCTTCCTTACCGTATATATATATATATATATATATTTACATTTGTGTCATTTATATAATTAATGTCCATAACTCGCTACTTACTCAAAAGCTCCCCTGTTTTTCTTTTCTTTTCCTTTTTTTTTTTTTTTGGTTTTTTCGTCTTCTCTTCTTCTTCTTCTTCTTTTACTGAAATTTTGTGGTCTTTGGGCATCACCAGCGACAATTCTCGTCTCTCTGGGCTCTGCTCTAGAGAGACTTTTGATCCACGAAGATGCTAGTAAGTACGTTTCTTTGATCTGGTTTGTTCAGTTTTTGGGCTTTCTCTTCTGCCAATTTTGGAATTAGCAGACTATAATTTGCCAAAAGTTTGACACTTTTTTTTTTTTTCATTCCTTTCATTCTCCTGAAGCAGTATGTTTGATTTCTTCAGTTTCTGTGGAGATGTCTGGTTTTGCTTTATCACCATTATTGAGCTTTGAGGGGTCAATTCAATTCTTCAAGCCTCTCAATTTTGTTTTTTGGTTTGTTTTGCTTTTAGGGTTCCTTGTAAATGCTCTGTTTTGGATATTGATTGTGTTCTTTATTAAATTTGGGAACTTTCATTGTGAATCTCACATTTCATATTCCTATTCCTGAATGATATTGACACTTAAAAATCTTTTCTCTCTGTTTTTTTTTTTTTTCAATTTTATTTAAAACATACATACTATTATGTCATTGTTCTTCCACTTTAAAAATGAGGGTTGAGCCTCTTTTTTTAATCTAGTGTCACATCCTTATCAATCAAAGCTTCAACTTTATTTTGTTTTTGATACTCTCTCTCTCTCTCTCTCTCTCTCTCTATATATATATATATATATGTATATATAATTACTTGATCAATGCTCAATTCAATGATTTTTCTATTTGTCAAGACTCTTCTGAGGCCGATCAAGTGGCTTGTTTTTGTTGTTTGGTTTTTCTCCTTTTTGATCAGGTGGTATTGCTCTTGCTGTTTTTGGCTTTGGGCAATGCCGTTGAAATAAACGGAGGAGATGGGCAATGCAATTACACTAAGCAAACACGGCAACCAAGACCACATAGTGTCTCCATTTTGGAATTTGGTGCAGTTGGAGATGGCAAAACATTGAACACCATTGCCTTCCAAAATGCAATCTTTTACCTCAAGTCCTTTGCGGATAAGGGTGGCGCGCAGCTTTATGTGCCGCCCGGGAGGTGGCTTACCGGAAGTATCAATCTCACCAGCCACCTCACTCTCTTCTTGGAGAAAGGCGCCGTCATCCTCGGATCTCAGGTACTTTTTTCTTTTTTTGCTGGAAAAAGACTACTTGTAATTTAAGATTCTGATGGGAGCTTTTCTTTGACATAATGAAATTTTTGCTTGTTTAGGACCCGAATCATTGGGAAGTTGTTGGACCTTTGCCCTCATATGGTAGAGGAATTGAAGTCCCCGGCAAAAGATACCGCAGCTTAATAAACGGCTACCAGTTACATGATGTGGTGATAACAGGTATGTATATCTTCAATTCTATTCTCTTTAAAGTCCAAACTTTTTTTTTATTTTTTGGTTAGGCAGTCTAATTCTGTTTCTCTTTTGGATTTTCTTGCATTTCATCAACTACACTAGGTGATAATGGAACCATCGACGGCCAGGGCTCGGTTTGGTGGGATTGGTTTAGCTCCGGTTCTCTAAACTACAGCCGCCCGCATATTGTGGAATTCGTCGATTCTGAATCTGTTGTAGTGTCAAATCTTACATTCTTGAATGCTCCTGCATATAACATCCATCCAGTATATTGCAGGTTCGTTACCTTTGGCGCTGGTGTTGCTATTTATTCTTGTAAACTTTTGCTCAATTTCAACGTGAATTTGAAACATTTATATGCTATGGACTCGATGCAGTGGTGTACATGTTCACAACATTTCGGTCTCCACTCCTTCGGACTCCCCTTACACTATTGGCATAGTCCCAGGTTGTAATCATCTTTATACTCTCTTACTTTTGAGTTCTAGTTTGAAATTGAAGTTATGAATTGGAAAAAAGTGGATAGAAAAACTCGGTGCTTCTAATGGCTAATTTTGAATTTAGAATCTAATGTTTGGCAATGAATTTTAAGTTTTTATATGCATCCAATGGGAGGAATTTTTTGCTGAGCACATGTTGACAGTAACGTTCCGAATCTTTCAGATTCTTCCTATGATGTGTGCATAGAGGACTGCACGATTAGCACGGGTTACGATTCAATTTCCCTCAAGAGTGGTTGGGATGAGTATGGCATTGATTATGGCAGACCAACCAAAAACATACATATCAGGCGGGTCGATTTGCGAGCATCGTCTGGCGCTTCTATTGCCTTTGGTAGTGAGATGTCTGGTGGCATATCCAATGTGCTTGTGGAACATGTCCACTTATACAACTCACATAGTGGTGTTGAGTTCAGAACAACGAAGGGCAGAGGTGGTTACATCGAAAATATCTTGATATCAGATGTTGTGATGAAAAATGTGTACAAGGCACTTGGTGCCTGTGGTCAGTGTGGTTCCCATCCAGATGACAAGTTTGATCCAAGTGCTCTACCAGTTTTGGATCACATCACAATCCAGAATGTGTTTGGCACAAATATCACTATTGCAGGGAGTTTCGTAGGCATTAAGGAATCTCCCTTCACTTCCATCTGTCTATTCAAGATTTCTTTGTCCATCAATTCAGGCTCTCCCACCCCTTGGGAATGTTCAGATGTTTCGGGATCTTCCGAATCAGTCCTCCCCGAACCCTGTCCCGAACTTAAAAACTCGTACTCAAATTCTTCCTCAGCTTGCTTTTCCTTGTCAACATTATATGGAAAAGCCTCAGCTTTATGATACTAGCCATTCCTTCACACAAACAGTTCTACAGCAAGGAAAAACAAAAAAGAGAAGCTTCTACCATATTTATTTGTTTGTTTCTTTCTCCCTTCATCCCTTTAGTTTCGCATTCTTATGGCATGTTGCGGTCTGCATATTTGTACAGCTTCATTTCTTCATTCATGTGTAAGGAAATTTTTGGTAGTTGATGGCAAATGAGGGGGACTTGGACATTGTTATTTGTTAAGCATTGCCTGTTTACATTTAATTGATTATTTTCTTTTGAATAAACAAATAAGGTTAGTGCATTTTAATAGTGCGTAATGTTTTATACTTTTATCTTGTTGATTAGTGTCAATCATGTCCGGTGAGGTGAAAATGTGAATTTTATTTAAAAAATAAAAAAAGTGGGGCCTTCTCACTTATGAGAATGAATCAATCAGACAAACTAGTTCTGTGGCCATACTCTCTTTTCTACCCAATGTTTTGCCATATTATTGTATGTGATGTGATTTTAATTGTTATTTTAATATTTATTTATTAATGAGTATTATTATTTTAACCGTAAAATATTAATCTAATGATTATAATAAATAATATAGTTGATTACAAAAATTTATGACAATTAATAAAATTAAATTATTATCACGTCATGTCGTTAAATTTTTATATATTTAATAATAATCATTAATAAAAACGTAATCATTAAAAATTCATCTATATATATTTAGACGGGCAATAGAGGCCTTTCTATTCAAGTGGGATTATTTATTGTGATTTCTTAATTATGAAGTTTACCGTTGTGTTTTTCTATCTTATTTATGATGTTAAATAGAAATTTTTTTGTCCCATATAAAAGAAACTATGCGCTTAATTTTTTAAAGGCAGCAACTTTATCCATATCAACGAAAATCAAATTTTCCAAAAAGAAAAGAAAAAAAGATAAAATGTTCTCGAATGTAAGAAAATTTGAAGGTCAAAGTTAATAGTTCATTTTTAAAAAAACTAATATTTCTTCTATAAAGAGTAGTAGTGTTCTTCCTCAAAAAAAAAAAAAAAAAAAGAGTAATAGTGTCTTTTCCCACAACTAATATTGCCTAAGTTTGACATTGACGGATAATTTTGTCTAATTAAAAGAAAAAAAAAAGAGAGAATCTCGTTTTTTTTTTTTTTTGTTTTTTTTTGTTTTTGTTTTTTTTTAAACATAGTGTAGATTCTTGCATTTCCAATTGAACAAGGATGTTACTATTATAATTATTACTATTATTATCATTATATAAGTAAATTTATAAGGAAAGTTATCTTCGAATTTTTTATATAAGGAATTCAGATTTTTGTCTAATTTTAGTGTTTTAATTGGTATTTAATAAATCATATCATGCCACATTGTATAAAAAAATTAAATTGCTTTTTAACTAATTCATTTATACTTATTATGAGTTGATGCGGTATGATTTGATTAGTTAGACACCAATTAAGACATTAAAAATTAAATAGAAAATCAAGATCTACATATAACAAAATTAGTACAAATGGATTAAAACAACTTTTTTTCTTTGGCTAAAACTTTTTTTTTTTTAAAGTAAACTTATATGGTTGAAATACGTAAACATTTAAAGCACATGTATCTTATACTTTTGCATATTTATGCGGTGACACAACTAATGGATTTGATCGCTTTCATTGCGTTTGGATTCTTAATATATTGATATTCAATGACATAATTATATTCGACATAAGATAATAAGAATATAGAAAAAATCACATTTTCTTGGTCAAACATGCCATATAACCTAAGAGTATATTGGAACATCTATTGTTGTTGAAGATTAATTCACTAAATTAAGTTTGAAAAAGCCTATTTTCATGTACATGTGATGGTAATTGAAATTCACAAGTGATGTCTATACAAAAATTATATCATTTATTAAAGTTAATTGTTGTAATGATCATGACGACTTTACATTGAAAGGTTTGATATGTGACATAAAGAAATTGAAACAATCAAATCATGTGATTCGGTAAATTGGAACCTTTAACTGTAAGCAATGTTGTTGCTTATTAGATAAAAAAAAAAAAAAATAAGTGTTTAGGGAAATTATGATGATGATTTATAATTTCGTTTTGATACCTTCATCAATACTCTGGTAGCAATTTTGTTACTTAAAATTATAGTATTACCAATTAATTTTAATATTATGTTAGGATCGTTAACTATTATATAAAAAAAGTTGAGAGATCATATTTGTATCTATGTGGGACTAACGTGTAGCATTTGCTCCTTTTAGTCCAATAATAGAGCAGAAGGCCATTATTAACGAGAAACACATATGTGCCTTGCGGTTAGGTTGTGCATTATATCTTGACATTCAACCAGCAAAATTATGTCGTATGGGACAAAAAAGTGTCATGTGGTGTAGGTGTGTGTTGTGTACTAAACAATGTCACATGGTGGCATGCATGTTATGTGGGGATGGAGCCAGCTTTTTATTTCAGTGAGAACGTACACTAAATTATTTTTAATAAATTATTTTAGTGAGAACATATAAAAAAATATGTTTATTTTAATGGAAGCATATATTATTTTAATAAGAACTTAAATATAAAATTTAAAAATTTTAAAAATAATATTTTTAAAAAAAAAGTTAAGTGGGGCGGTGTCCCGCTCAGCTTCAAGTGGCTCTGCCACTTGTATTAGACGACTAATATACCTAAACACTCGTGATTTTCAAAGAAATCCTTTTGAAAAGTGATGCCGAAAGAAACAATGTCGTATGATCAAACAAAGGGGTGTCGTAGGGGTCGTTTTATATCAACGCGCTGTTGCGTGAAGAGAATTATGTCGTATAACGCCACCATTTGGTATGCATGATCGAGCCAATGGATTTGCTGGGGGTAAAACAATGTTGAAACTACCAAAGCAGAGGTAAAGTGGGAGTTGTAATGCATAGAAAGATAGGAAAGAGAAAAAACATCAACAATAATATGAAACGACTATGCTAGTGAAACTGTGTCCTTTGTGAAAAATGGTATCCCATAAATATAAAAGTATTTTATGCGTTTTTTTTTATTATTTAAAAAAGCTATTAGATGGGACATGGTACCATAATCCTAATTCCTTAACGATGTTGTTCAGAAAAAAGAAGTCGTATTTAGAAACTACATCGTATGAATGAAATGATGTCGTAACACGAGATGGTTCCATATACAAAACAATGTCGTTCATGCAAACAATATAACATTGCCGTCGACATAAAAAAAGGAGAAATAATACTGCAAAAAGAAAAAAAAAAGAAAAAGAGAACATCGGGAAATGTCGTAGGCTTGCCACTTTTAGACTCTAGTTATTAGGCCGTACCACTTCTATCTATGTAAAAATTACACTATATGGAATATTTCAAAAAGTGAATTGAAATATAAGAATTCTTTTGGAATATTTTAAGAATAACAAAATTACCAGTAATTATTATAATGATTTTTATGTTACAAAATTATTAATGATTATATAATGATTTAAATTTTTAATATTTGTAAGATAAGATATTCTAAAAACTTTTGCTAATTTTCAACATGACTGAGATTATTTCTAACTCACCTGTGATTAAACTTTCCAAACGTATAGTTGTATAAAAATGGATTAGTGAGGACCAATAACGTCGGTAAATGATAAAAATGGATGTCGTATGTTAAAACTACCGTCGTACTATCGAAATGCGTCGTACAGCAGGACTATACCTGTATGACGTCGTTTGAATAAATGCTGTCGTACGTTCACAAATATGTCGTTTTACATATTTAGACAAGCCCAAAGAACAATGTCCGAGCCCAGAGATCCAGGTCCATTAGGGAGGCCCTTTTTTGTCTTTCTAAGAGAACGACGCATCCGTAATACACGCACAAAAACCCAGCCAGGGGTTTTACTTCTCTTCCCTCCTCTCCTCTCTTCTCCGTCGCCGTCTCTCAGCTGAGTCAGTTTCTCTCTCTCTCTCTCTCTCTCTCTCTCTGGTGGGAGAAAACGACAACAAGAAATGGGGTCCTCGGATATCAGAGACCTCTTGACGGCGTTTAGTCCTTCCATGGACTTGTTCGCCATCAGCGCCGGGGATGGTCGAATTAAGGTACTCCGGTTCCTCCCCTGTCGTTTATCCATTTCATTTGATGAACTGAGAGCTGGGGTTGTTTCAGAATTTAATTTCCTCTTTTTTTTTTTTTTTTTTTTTTTTTTTTTTTTTTTTTTTCAATTTAGATATGGGACACAGTGAAGGGTCAAGTCCAGACCGAATTCACGGACATGGTAGGATCAGAAGAGACGAGCTTATTGGCGAAACCAGAAAGAGAAAGAGGACACCTTTCTGTTGATTATACGTGCATGAAGTGGTTCTCTTTGGAAAGAAAGGTCTTGGTTTTTTTTATTTTTTATTTATTTTTAACACAAGAAAAAGTCACTAGATTTTTGTTTAGTTTAGTTTAGATTATTTTTTTATTTTTTTTTAATATTGGGAAATGGTTGCAGCAGAAGAAAAGGAAGCTCGGGAGCTCATTGTTGATTCTAGGGACAGGAAGCGGCGACGTTTTGGCACTTGATGTGTCTGCTGGGCAGTTGAAGTGGAGAGTTAGTGATTGCCATCCTGGGTTAGTTTTTTGTTTTTGTTTTTGTTTTTTTTTAAATAAAATGGGTTTTGTTTGTTTTATTGGGGAGGTTTGATTGAACAAGCTCAAATCTTGGTTAATATGCAGGGGTGTTAGTGCCATATCGTTTTCTAGAAACGTTTCGTGTATTTACACGGCAGGTTCAGATGGGATGGTGTGTCAAATTGATCCCTTGACAGGAAACCTGTTGGGGAAGTTCAAAGCTTCCACAAAAGCTTTATCCTCTATGTCTGTTTCTCCTGGTGTGTCTCCTTTTCTTGCTTTTTTAGCAGTATGGTATTTTGCTTAAATGTTGTTTTCTTTTATAACATATGGTCCGAGAGTGTATTGTACTGGGTTCAATGTATGAGATGCAGTTTTTTGGCTTATGTAAATTCGAACAATTTATAGTGGATTTTGAAAACTGTGGCCAAGAATCCAGTGGCCAAAGTTGTCAGCAATCTTAACTCGATAGGCTAACTAGGTTGTAATTAGTTTGAAAATTCTAGTTATGAGTACTCCTCTTAATCATACTTGGTTGTGGATAAGTATGGTAAGTGTTATGGGGAACATAGTCGCTCTCATTTCTCATTTCTTTTCATTGCAATCTCCTTTGTTTCATGTATGGATCATGTGAAAAGACTTCAGACGGTCCCATAAAAATGTGTTATTTTTGATAGAATGTGTTATTTTTTGCTTTTCTGATACATCTATTGCATGGTGTTGTCTCTAAACCAGATGGAAGTGTAATAGCAACTGCAGCTGGGCAATTGAAGACATTTGGTTCTTCTGATCACAAAAAGATGCAGAAGTTCTCTGGGCATCCAGTGAGTCTTTGCAGTTATATATTCTGTCTTTATATCATTTCTTGTTTTCTTCCTAAAATTTAAGTGCAATTTTTGTCCAAGGGCCATATCTTCTTTCTCTATGCATTTGCTGAAATTTCTCATTTATTCAATAGGGACCTGTTCGCTGTTTGATATTTAGTGAAGATGGAAAATACATTCTTTCATCTGCAGTCAGTGAAAGATACATTGCAGTTTGGAGTGTTGGTGGCAGCAAAAATCAATCAGCAAGTTGCGTTCTCGCTATGGAGCACCCTGCCGTCTTCATAGATAGCAGGTGTGTGAACAGTGGAGATGACGATGCTGGTCTATACATATTGGCCATATCGGAAAATGGTGTTTCTTACTTTTGGTTTGGACAAAATATTGAGCAATTACGGAATGCGAAGCCTACAAAAATATCAATATCATATGAAGAAATTTCCTCTAAAAGTTACAAGGGTGCATTGCCTACCATATTCGCCGCAATACTGCAAGGTTCTGCTGAACTCGCTTCAGACCTGCTTCAGGGCAGGTGTTTGTTGCTTATGGATCACTAGTTAAGCCATCATTTCAGAAAATCTTGGTGTGTTACGGCACAGACATCAAATTGAGCAGCTCTAGTGATGGGGTCCTTTTGCCATTGACCCAATCACTCGTCAAATCTAAGAAAGGACGAGATGTGAAAAGTGGAGGTAGGCTTGATTATGATTCCTTGGAGTGACTTCACAATCTTCCGAAAATTTGTTAAAACCAGAAACATTTTCTTCTTGTATGGGCCTCTGCAAAAGTTCTCTTTGTTGTTAGCATTTTTTGAATTCTTGTTAGCATATATTCCTTCAACACTATCGTACCCTAAAGTCAAAAGTTGCTATGCTTCTATAATTTTTATAGTTCTATATAAACAGTTCTGGTCATGCATTGTAGCTAAATTGTGTTCTTATTTTATTTTTATCAGTTGTCGCCCTGGACCGTGCAAATGCTGAGGACGCTCTACTTCCTATTCCCAAGGTTTTTGAGGGAAGGAATAGAAACGAAACTTTGGGTGTTGACGATGGTGAGAGAATGGCAGATGGGCTTGTGAAGAGCAAAGGTAAGAAAGTAAACATGCTTCCAAGGATTTCTCTGGGAATACTCCTGAATGTGTTCTGGTGCAACATTGTTCTGATTGTGTGCCACCTTGTTTGCTTTTGCTCATTTTCTGCTGGGTGTGCAGATGACATTGCAGTAATGGAAGTTGATACCGAAGTAATCTGCATGGAGGACCGGCTGAGATCATTAGGACTACTTAGCGAAACAGATGATACTACATCAAAGTCCATGAAAAACTCTGCAGTACTTGAGGGCATTAACCTTGAAGCGCTGATGCCACAAAAGAAGGTTCATTTTCTTCCACTGTTTTTCTTTTGAGGAATTTTGGGGACAACATTATGTCAACTTACTCATGTTTTGGTAATTCCTTTTCACCAGATGAAGGCAGCTGTGTTGTCGAAAGTACCTACCGATGCTTACAAGTTACTCAGAGTCTTGTTGACTATGTGGCAGTCAGGGTTTGTTCTTGTACTTCAATTCTTTCATATGTGTGTTTAATTGATTATGATTCCTTTGGAGAATATTCTGCGTTCGGACTTAAACCTTTTTTTCTTTTCTTTTTTCCCCCCTTCGTTCAATTTCCTTTAATAGGTTGTATAATGGAAAGACTGTTATACCATGGATCTATAGCATATTGGTTTATCATAGTCGCCATCTCATGTCTGAAGAATCAGCGACTCAGACGCTTAATTCCTTGATCAAGGTAATATGTGACGAAGTATTGTTATTACTGTACGACTCCGAACATTTTGACTTTTTCTTTCAGATTATGTTTTCCTCTCTCATTTGTATGCTAAAAATAGAGCTTCTAGAAAACCATTTTGCTACACTGCCTTCAGTGGATCAAAGCCTACTTTCGCACCGCAAATGACATAAATTTTCATGTGGGTTTCTCCAATCAGGTTTGCAAATCTAGAGGGGCAGCTATCGAACCTTTGTTACAATTGTCGGGTCGTTTGCAACTCGTGATAGCACAGGTTAGTAACTACCAATTCTTTGCATAATGTCATTATCTATGTGAAGTTTATTGGTATCTTGATTGTGTTCTTAAGTGTCCTTAAGCAGATTAACAAAGCAGCACATCCAGAAACACCATTAACACGAGAAGAAAACCAGAATGATGACAGCGACGATGACGGAAATGAAGAAGTAGATGACGTTCTTTACAAGGAAGAAGATAGTGAATCTGAAATAAGCAGTGAAGATGACTAGGTAGGTAAATTCATTTGTGTGAGTTTAGCCACACTAGTCGACATATTTCCTACACAAATTATATCTTGGGTACTGAATACTGGTGTTCATCACTGCCGGTGATGCATCACCGCACGTGTGTCCGTAAAAAAGAGCTGTAATATGACGAAAAGTAAAGAAACTGTATCTTACTTGGCTTGTTTTTGTTTTTGTTTTTTTTGTGGTGTGTGTGATGTGGAAATGTACTAGCTTGATTTCAGGTGGTTATTTGTTATTCCGTGTTGCAGTTAAAGAAGTTTCACGAGGACGCCTTCGTTTCGGGTTTTAAGAAAGGTTCTAATAGCGAGCTTGCCTGCAACTAAGCTTCTGAACGTGCGGTTTAGCTGGTTGTTCGTTCTCATCGAGTACGTAGCCTACAATTTTGTTTAGCTTCCTCTTCTCATGGATAAGATATTGGATTTTGCTAATTCAGATAAATTACAGTTTTGTTTTCTGTTCTATATTTGGCTGTAATGTAATTCTTAAATAGGTCTATTGGTGTATATTATTTGTTGAAGAACAAGCAATTTTTGAAGAAACTTGTGCTTGTTCTGTGTAAACTCTTTTGATGTCGATCTTATTGCTAAGATATATGAAAAAAGGCGGTCAAAAGATTTTTAGATTCTTGATCTCTTCTAAAAGGCGAGTTTCCTGATTTACTGTTAATACATGATATTGATATATATATATATATTGAAAGGTAACTTTTTTTGAATAATTTGTCAATGGCGTCCCTTGTAGTATAGGAAAAAGAACTTACGTTGTGAATGGATTGTTTCAAATTTCAGGGCCCGTTTGTTAATATTTTCGAAATGATTTTTTTTTTTGGGTACGGAAGTAAAAATAAGATTGTTTTAAGAATTATTTTGAGACTGATTATGAAATTACGTTTAGTTATTAATTTCTTAAGAGATTTTTTAAAGTATAATAAAAAAGTGAAATCGTGTTTGGTTATAATTATTAATTAATATATTATAATATTGTTTATAAGAATTAAAAAATGAAAACAAAAAAGGAAAAATAATTTTTAACCGTTTTTTAATTCATTCATAAAAATCATCCACAGTATTTTTTGTTTTTGTTTTTGTTTTTATTTTCAAAATATTTGCTAAACAAACACAATTTGTATATTATTTTTATTTTCGTGTCTTAAAAAAATGAAGAAATGTTTTAAAAAATAATCAAAAACTAATTCCAAACGCACCTCTGTTCTTGGTTTGAATTTATGTTATGAGAAAAGGTTTTTATTCTCTCATTTACTTTTCGTTTCAATTTTAAGATGTCAAATCAGAGATTGCATTGTTATTTTATTTTATTATTTTTTTTCCTAAAGAAAATGGAAAATGACATTTTTATTTCTGTTGTGCTCTAAAAAATCCAGTAATCGTTTGCTGTTTTATTTGGCTATTCATCTTTGAACAAGGTTTTTCTCTAGGCATGTTGCCGTGTTACGATGTTTGTCGTTGTTTCTACTGTCTGATCCAAGAGGTTGTCGTTTTTGTGATAGATTGATAGATCTTGTCCGTTGTTTGTAGTTAGTGTCATTTATAAGAATGCAGTGTTTAAGGGTGTTTGAAGTCGGTTTGGGCAGATTTTTTTAGAAACTATTAACTAAACCAAAAATATTTATTTGGGTAGTTTGGGCGGTTTGATAATTTTGACAAAAACTAAATTAAACTAAATCACTCATAAACGGTATGGGCGATTTAGTTTGGACAGTTTGAGCTTAAGACTAAAAATGCTATCAATAATTCATAAAAAAGTTTCACCATTCAAAGCATTAATACAAATCAACAAAAATATGATGGAGTGTATTTTATAAGTGTAGAACTTTTATTATGACCAACAAAAACTAAAATAAATATAAAATATTTTAAAACTAAAAAATTATATTTGTATACTTTTAGGGGGATTATTGGGCGGTTTAAGGAGTCCAAACCACCCAAAAACTAGATTAAAAACCGACCAAATTGCCCAATAATCAAAAAATAATTAACGATTTAGTTCGATTTGATTTAGATTGGGCGGTTTTCTCGTTTTAGTGGTTTTTTTGTACACCCCTAGCAGTGTTGGGGCCGCATTGTTTTGATTAAATATTCTCATTCAATAGTAGCTGCTATGTTGGTTGTGTATTAGACCATCTCGAATGTAAATGTTAATGTCAATTGTATATTTAACACTAACAGTATGATAGGGCATTGCTATTTTTATTTATGCGTTAATGCATAATGCTATTTAAAATGCTAAATTTATTTTTTCCTATCATTATTAAGCTTTGAAAGTTGTAAAAATAGAATTTATTTTTAAAATAATTTAAAAATGTAAAAGTTGTAACAGTCAAATAAAAAAATAAACATATCAATCAATAGGAGTTAAATATCAAATTTGACATGTGCTATACTTAATTGAAAATTTACCACAAATTATAACATATGAAAAATTTAACATAATAAATGACATTATATTGAAGAGTGTATTTTGAGCTCAAATATTGAATTCATAATATAGCATTGCAATGCTCTTATAGTCGTGTGCCATTTCTAAAATTACAGTAGTTTGTCTCTAGAAAATGATGTCGTTTTTAACTTATTGCCATTTTTCTATCTTTTTGTCGTTTTTCATGCTTATGTGGTTGGTTTTAGCAGATAACGTCGCTGGTAAAATCTTTTTTTTTTTTTTTTGAATTGTAAATATTGTCATATGAGATCTTTTATTTTCTTTATTGAATCACCGTTGTTTGTATGGTGCTGAGATTTTAAAACGTTTTTATTCGTTTGCATGAGTACTGCTGTTCCGTATTCCTAGTAAAACGGAACGCCGGATTTTGATGCATCGTCAGATGTCGTTTTTTTCTGAAGTACCGTTGTTTATTAAGTTCTAGTCGTTTGTATAAGATGTCATCGTTTGTATAGCCGGATTTCCCGTTGTTTTCGCTACGCTGTCAATCATATTTCTATTCTTTAGCCAAAAGGACAAAAAAAAAAAAATATCAATCATAGTTCTATTAACCCTGCCGTTTGTACGATACATTGTCGTTTTCAATATAACTATTGTTTGTTGTGTGGAATATGTTGTCGTTTTAAAAAATAGTTGTCTGTCTTTATGAGATATATTCATCTATTTGACTGTCATTCCGATTATTGTCGTTTTTTATAAAATATTGATGTTTACACTTGTCCCCAATTTTTCTATGATAATGTTTTGTTTTCTCAAGTTTTGTTGTTTTTATTTGTATGACTCAATTATTTGAAATAATGTCGTTTCTAATGTCATTGTGGTTTCTTAAAATACATATAGCATGTTTGTTTCACAACTCAAATTAAGAACTTGAGTTCTTATATGTAAAGGAAAAACCCTGTAGCGAAAAAATTAAATTTAAATTTTTTTGAGAGAAAATATTATAATAATAGAACTTAAGTTGTGACTTGAGTTTTGAAAAAAACAAGGCCACATTTGTCTTTTAACTTAATGTCGTTTGTAAGATTTTTTTCGTTTTAAAGATATTTTGGCTTCTATTACCGTCGTTTTCGTTATTCTCATCTCCACTCAATGTTGCACATAGAACGTTATCGTTCTTAAATTACTGTATGTATTGCAAGAACATCGTCCGTTTTCAAACATTGTCGTTTGTTCATCCTGAACCTAGTTTTCATCGTGATCTTCTTATAGAAAAGCCTTAACCGTCATACTTAAAAGATTTAGGGCTCTTTACAGCAACACCACAAATTTTAAGCTTGGATTGATATATGCCATCAAACATAAACTATTGTAGCGAATACCAAAGCCAAAGATACTTAAAAATCGTAAAATCCATAAAAATCACAAATACATACATGAAAAACCACAAAACTCTTGCAAAATCTAAAAATAATGAATGAAATATACAAAAGTACAAATATAATTGTGCTTAGTACACAAAATTTAAATGATGTCACCGTGGTATATTTTGTAATAGTTTTAGTACCCATGACAAAAGCCAATCCAACCTTAAAAATCACGGTATATTGCCTAAATATCTCAAAGATTGAGATATCAATTATGAATGCGGAATTTAATTATTGTCTTGATGCAGTGTTGCTACATGGAATTTTCACACGTATAATTTTGGTTGTTGATTTTGGGTATGAGTTTAATAGAGAAATACAAAATGAGAAGTATATGAGGTGTATGATTCAATTGTGATTTTCTGCCATGACCGAAAGTGAACGTTACTTGCACATTATGAGTGAACTACTATATAATTTTATGTATTATTGTTTGGTTTTTCTTTCATTTTATTTGCTCTTGATTGTTAGTAGAAAATTAACACGTCCAATTCTGATGATTTTAATTATTTTTCCTCAATAATTTAATCTTCAGGCCGTCCAAATAAATTAACAATTAAGGTTACGTTTCTAATCTTACATATATTCCCCAATATTTGTAGAGCTGGTTTTTAATTAATTATCTTTTACGTACCCGTATTTTATTAGTCGGATGGCATTCATGCATGTTTAAAATATAACATCCTCTCGATGCTTAAGAATAAACTTCCCAATAAATTCTATAAAAAGAAAAACCGACATTTGTGGAGAAAGGTCGGGAAAAAAAAGAGAGAGAGAGACCATAAAAAAACCAAAAGAAGGGCTACAAATTAGTCTGGTTCCTGAACAAAGTTAGCTTTAATTTTATGGATTCTTTTTACACAAAATGAATTCCAGGCAGCATGTAGTCACAATAATAGCCTTGATGATCTCCTCACAAGTGGAATCCAGAATCTATTCTTCCAGCACTAACAAGCATGGAATCTAATTCCTCCCATTTTAAACATACCCACATGCTTATAATATTTAATAAAAAATACCACTACTATACCCATAAAAAACATGTAATTACTTTTATCCCCCATTAAAACTTGATTAATTACTTCCTCATCATCACCCCTTTGGAGGCATAATAAACAGTACTTATCTCCGTTTTAGCACCTAACTTCTTTTTTGTTTTACACTATTCTACATGCGTTAGGATTTTCATCACTGAAAATGGACGTGATATTCCCATTGCTGCTAGTACTCCCATTGTTGTAGTAATAATACTGATTTTGGTCATAATCATAGTTGTTGTACATCCGCTCCATTCTAGGGTAGTAATGCGCTTGTGGTCTTGGTGGTGATCTGACATACTCATATTCTGTCACATAAGGCGATGGTGTGTGCATGTTGTAGCTTTGTGTCACATAGACTGGCTGCGGCTGCTGCTGCGGTTGCGGCGGCTGCGGTTGCAGCTGTGGCTGCGGCGGGGGTGGGACGGGTGACACATGTACCGGGACCGGTGACACGTGTACTGGTCCCTCTTGTGGGTGTCCTTGGCTATTGTGGTACTTGTTCCAGTACGCATTATAGCCATGGTGTCCATAGCTATACCTATAGCCATAATCAGGTGGGTTATGGTATATGACATGAACACCTCCCACATCTTTCGGTCCTGAGGCTGCAGGCTGGCCTGCAGCCCCAGGGGAGGGTTGTGGCTCTGGCGGCGGGTTGTCAGGCGGCGGCTGGTCCTTAGGGGGCTCGGCCGGGGGAGCCTGTTCGGGCGGTGGGGAGGGTTCGGACGGTGGAGGGTTGGCTGCAACTTGGGGTGGTGGTGGTTCATTAGGATTGGTGTTGTTACCTTCTTGTGGCGCAGGTTGATCGGTTGGTGGTGGGGGTTCTTGTGTTGGTTCTGTGTGGGAGCAAATTGTGGCTATCTTTCTTGTCTTCCTAATTGCTTTCACAATCTTTTCTGGATCTGCCCACCCAATTATTGTCAACTTCTGTTGAGGGAAATCAATGTACAAATCATATATACCTGTGGGGGCAAAACAAAACGAGAAAGAAAATTAGGACATGCCCAAATTATCGTCTTTTGTTAATAGTTTGCCTTTTGGTTTAGGATATTATATCAGGAAGTAATAGTATTCTCATAATTATCTTATCAAGTTTTCTGTTAGTTTTTCTTGTTTTATCAAGTACCGAATTCCGCTGCACCAAGTAGTACTCTTGAGGAGGTCATCAAGAATGCATAGATTTTGACGTGACAAAAAAAAAAAACCATATTTATGTAAAAAGCTTACCATTTATTCCATGAAGAGCTTTCTTGATCTTCTGAACGCACCCATTACAGTCCATTCGGACCTGTATCTCCGTGACTCGAGGTTTCTGCATTAGATGATCAAAAGGAAATCTATAAAAAATTCTCGTTATGTAAGAATAAGATGGTGTTATTTATTAGGAGGAGCACATACCTCTAATTCTGGTACCATTAGGAAGAAATGGAGGGAATATAGAAAAAAAACTTATTTTTTCTTTCTTTTGGTGGGAGATGAAGAAGTTGGAGAGTAGTATTGAAGAATCAAGAGGTGGAGGCATTTATTTTGTGTAAGCCTTGGAAGGAATATTTGAAAGGCAAAAGATGTGGGGCATGCAAAGAATCTCTTTACATGAAAGGGAAAGGGTGAGGAAGAGAGATTGGTGCTTGATCACCAGAGAGAGAGAGAGAGAGAGAGAGAGAGAGAGAGAGAGAGAGAGAGAGAGAGAGAGAGAGAGAGAGAGAGAGAGAGAGCAAAACTCAAAAGGGTCTTTTTTATTTTATATATTTTTTTTTTTGGTATGGACATTGCAAGTTTGAGCTAAAAGGAATTTTCTTTTTATTGTATGTTTTTGCTTTATGATAAGATGGACATACATAATTGAGGGGAAATTTGTTTATGTTAGGATATCCAAAACCGACCATGGAAAAGAATTTAAAGATAGAAAAAAGACTATTTTCTTGTACATTTTCCCATCAGTCAAAAACAATCAAAGTAGCTTTTGAGGTTGTAAGGATATCCACTCCCATGGAATCCTTTTCTGTCAAGGAAAGATCACTCTAGATATATATAAAAAACGATAAACATTGTTATGTTTTCTTTGATGCATATCTATTGGGTTTTGCAAGGCACAAACCTTCTTTCTCTTTTTCCATAAAAAGGTTGATGGAAGTTTGTAAATTAGATTCTTTGATTGGGATTTTTTTAATAATTGCACTCTCATCTTTAATCTTATCATATGTTAGCTAATGAATTGGGATTTGTTTCATTTTGTGATATGGAATGAAACTGCTTTTGTTCTAATATTTCTTTCCTACTGTTGGAATTTGGCCTAAGTTTAGGTGATAAAACTGAAATGGTTAACCAAGAAGACTCAAAACTGGTTGCAGCTTACTAAGGAATCTTCAAACCAATTAATGCATAATTTTCATTTGGTTGTGTGTCTTGGTTCATTGTCAAATATCACAATTCAAAAAGTTTCACTCAAAGAAGAAATTGTGACAAGGGCATTTTGTAACTTTTCTCAATGTGAGATTCCATTTTTCACAAACAAAATTACTTGATACTTTGGACATGATCTTACCCAATCTTTAGAACTTTGAACTTGATCGTCGAAAACATGGTGTACAACTAATAGATAAAGGGTAGAACCAAGTTGGTAGAAAAGTCAACTTAAAATTCCAACCATCAAAAACCTTCCATGTGTCACTAACATTATTGTTGAGCTTTTGCAAAAGAGAGTAGATTTCATAAATTATTATTATTATTGTTTTTTTTTTTGTTGCTGAAAAAGTAGATTTCAATAATTAGTTGTTTATGTTTTAGATGCCTTTTAATTGGTACCGTTAATTAAAAGTTTTTGTTTTTTGTTTTTTTGTTTTTTTTTGATAGTGGTCCTTTATGGAGATATTTCTTCTTTGGTATGATCTGTTTATTTTCAAGTTAAGCAAGTAGCATAACAATACATCTTTTGGTGCATTTAGAAATTTGTTTCTATATAAATACCAGCTTCCAATGTGTAACTATTTTTATGATTGTAAGTACAAAGTGGGAACAAGAAAAAGCTCAAAAAAAAAAAAAAATTAAAATATTGAAATATAAAAAGAACCAGCCTATACTTGAGGTCGGATCTAAAAAGCACTACATAATCTCTATTTAATTAGTTTTTCTATTAATAATTGATATTTCATAGCTCGTGGTCCTTTTTTTTTTTTTTTGGAATATGCAAAACAAAAGTGGTATAATTTTTGTTGTCATAGAAACTATAGCTTCCATCCATTTTATTGATTAATTTTATTGCATGAGTGAGTGGAAAGAATTATGCCATTTTAGGACAAACTAAACCTTTCATATGCAATAACCCGAAACTTTATATTCATACTCAAAAGTCAAAAAAGAGCCAATACGAATTCGACCTCTGGGATAAAAACAATAAATAAATAAAAAAATGGACCAATAGGTATAACTCAGTGCATTTTTGGATGAATTCTAGTGTTTCTACTGGAATTTTTCGGACTCTTTTTTTTTTTCTTTGGTTAGAAGAAAAGAATATGTACAATCTTCTGAATATGACAGAAAAAATACAAAAACAAATTAAAAAAAAAAACAGCAGCAGAAAATTATTGAGAGGCTAGAGGCCTTTGGTGAAAACAAAGTGCATTACCAAAAAGAAAGGTAAATTGACTAGCTCTCTTTTTGGCATCACAACAAATTTGTCAATATTACAGGCTGGCATTCCATGCCTTGAATTGCCATTCTTGTTTGAACATGGTGGCAAGAAATCATAGTAAAAATATGCAAGAGTGAAGAAAAATTTTGAGCTAATTTTCCTAGTTAGGCAAAACAAGAAAAAGAAAAAAAAAGAAAAAGAAAAAGAAAGAGAAAGACTTGATTAACATTTGTTTCCTTTGAGATAAAAAGATGCTTAGCTTGGACTAATAAAACTTATGTGTATTGTCTGTTCATTAATTAGGGGTGAAACTTATGACTTTGTTTATTCTAGATTCTATACTGATAGGACATATATTTGCCCCATATAACAACTAAGAAAGATTTGCTTGGCTAAAGCCAATATGGAATGGCATTGCTAGGTATTTCAATTATCTATCAATCTTCTGGGGTACTAAGGGCTTATTCTTTTGGGTGAAAAACTCAAAAAAAGGCAACTTGAGTTACAACTTTATTTGAGTTCATGTTCTTTTAAGTTTAAACTCGAGTTCAAACTCGAATTTAGGACTAAAACTCGAGTTTAAGTTTCCCCTTCAACTCGAATTCAGAAAATCGAACTCAAATTAATGAACAATATTTTTTCTTTTCTTAAAAATGCTATAATTTTTTCGTTTTAATTCTGACTGAGATGATTTTTTTTCTATGCGTTGACAACGAAAAGATGAATAAAACCCGACCCATATACCCTATTAAAATTTTTCATCAGCATTGAGTTTTTATTAAAATACTATCTAAATACAAATTCAAGTTTTGACTCACTCAAACACAAACTCAAAAAGATTCTTATCTCAAACCATAACTCAAATGTATACAACCAAACACAAACTCAAGTTACAAATTCAACTCAAGTTATAACTCAAATTCAACTCAAGAATTATACTCAAGTTAAACTCCAAAAGAACAAGCCCTAAATCTTGGCAAATGTGTAGTTAATTTTAGTTGAGAAAATACAATTTTTTCTATGAATAGACTTATTAATTGAAAAACGACAAGTTACTTGTTAATTATTTCATTTGGAACACAATAATCGGTAGATTACTTGGTATATACAGGAAAGAAAAATAATGTGGAGAAAGAAGAGTTTAGGAGAGCTGTCCTGTGTCTAAAGCAAGTCATGTTTAAGCACTTCTTGTGTAGTTTGATACCATTGAGGTTTGGGAAATACATAGTGACTAGTGAAATAGGATGAAAAGTCTCATTCCAAGCTAAAACACTGAGCAGTCAATTGCTCAAGAAAACTAATAATCACACAAGTTTTATTCACACAATGCGTTTATAAGTGTCAGATTGTGAATTTGTCCAATATCGCTAAGTTAACGGGCTGCTGGGATGTTTATATGTGGTTTGAACACCCTCTATCTTTTCTAATTTTTTGGTGGTTGTCCAATAAATAAAATAAGAGAGAAATTCCCTAGCTTAACATATGTTTGAGACTACTGAGTTCTAAGATTTTCTCAAGTTTGGAACTATATATGCACCGATGGACTGTGAAAAAGCATCAGAAAGGCTTTTGTTGAGGTATTCTTGTGAGTAGAATCATCAACCAAAACTGTTCTTTTTGTGTAGTTTATGGTTGATATGGCTTCCGCAGAGTCTTCACTCACCAATGAAGATGGATTGAGCACACTGATGGTAATTATTTCTCATTGTGCAAGAACGCCTCTTTGTAGCTGCAACATTATAATATGACGTCGTGGTTTTGGTTTTTTATTTTTTTAAAGTATTATGACGTCGTAGTTGTTTGTGAATATATTGGCTGTGTTTGGAATTGATCCCGTTTTTATTTTTTACGTTTTTTAATAAAGAAAAAATGAAAATATTTACAAAACGGCGTTTGGCACAATAAAGACAAAAAACGGAAATGAAAACGATTTTTTAGTTTAGTATAAAATGAGAGAGAAATAAAAAATGACTTTTAATCATTTTTCATTTTTTATTTTCGTTTTCTTCTCTCTCGAGCAGAGAGAAAGAGACAGAGATATTAATTGTTTTTTTATACTGAAACAATCTCTTGATAAATTACCAAATACGTCTTAAAAAATGATTTCTTCTGAGATTGAAAAAGTTTTTGTTTTCATTTTCATACAAAAAATAAAATTATTTTAAAACGAGTTTCAAACGCGCTCATTGTACTCTTACATTAATGTTGGTTTCCCTGTCGTTTACATGTTATTGTCATTTTAAAAGAGCTTAGCTTTTGAGGTTTTTTTGTCATTTTAAATTTTCACGTCGTTTTGTGATGTATTTGCTGTTTTTCCAGTTGATTTCTTTTGCCTTTTCTGTTCCTTTTTTTATTTTTAATTATTTTTAATTTTTATTTTCGTTTTTAAAGTTAATTTTTGCTTTTGCGATATTGTCGTCTTTGTTACATGTCGTTCTTCAATATTTTCACGGTCTCTCTGTTTCTACGTTTTCGATAGGTGATGATGTTGTTTTTCTTGCAGGCGTCTTATGTTACTTGTCCTCAATCCGATTATTGACGTCTTGCAAGTTGATGCCATTCTAGTCTCTTTTGCTCTTTTTGTTTCCTTTTCATATTTTTGTCGTTTTTCTCGCTGATATCGTTTATTATTTCCTGCCGCTTTCTATTAGTTTACGGTTTCCAGCTACTGTCGTTTTTCACGAATTTTCTTTCCTTGCTCGTTTCTTTAGTGCCAATTGTTTTTTTTTATTTTTTTATTTTTTTTATTTTTTTTATTTTTACTAGTTACTATTTGTTACTAGTTGAGCCACATATTATGTATGTGGAAAATAACTTTATAAATTTAACATCGTGTCAAAATACACGTAGTTTCCTTAAAAGTTACATCTATTAATTGTAGCCAGAGAAAAAAATATTTCAAACTAAAAAATAAAGGAACAAAGCATTTAAAAAATAATAGAAATAAAAAGAAGTAAAAAAGAAAAAAATAAGGAGGGTGGGAGTGGGGAGGGGGTGGGAGGCTACCACATGGTAGCCTGAAAAGTGCTATGTAGGAGCACTGTAAAAAAAAAAAGGTGTAAAAATAACTTTTAATATAACAAAAATTACACGAAAATCAATTAAGTAGGGATAGATTTGAAGACAATTATTCTAACCATTGATAGAAATAAAATTAAATAGAAACATATGCAAAAGAAATTACTTTCATAGGAGTAAAGCGAGCAAAAATTATTTTTAAAAATTTCATGTAAAAGTTGAACTATGAAAAAATTCACAAAGTAAAAAAATAAAGAGCAAAAAATTAAAAGATAAAAAAGTAAAGAAGTGAGAAAAAAAAAGAAAAAAAGGAGAAGGAGAAAAGGCCGTGACGTGACCGCTTAAAAAAAGTACTATCACAAGAGTTGTTGACTCTTTTATGTATAATGAGATTTTCTTCGAGTAATTTTCATTTATTCAATCCCTAATATACAGAATATCAATCTTTTCATTAATTTATAATAAAAGTTTTGTATTACACACCACAAATATAGATCACGGCAACTATATGTGGTTCTAAATATAATTATTGTCTTTACACAATCCAAACAACATAATATCCTAAGCTCAAACGACAAACGACAACAAGACACAATCTAGGCATAAGCATCAGGGTTCTCCTGAAGGTAGGACTCCACAACTTTGAAAATGGCCATAGCCTTCTCCTTGCCGGCCTTAATTTCCTCTTCGCTGACCGAGAAATCTCCTTCGGTGTTGTATTTACTTGTTATCTTGCACACACATCCTCCATCAGCAGCAGCAGGCTCAAACTTCACTTCATGATCAATAGATTCAAGCTTGTCACCCAATACATCTCCCTCTATCAAAGAGTACTTACATGCAAAGTTTTCATGGTCGAGTTCGTCGATTCGGTGCTTCACGTACTTGAATTCGCTAGCTGCATGCATAATTAATAGACCGACAAAAGCGAAATCGGTTAAACATGATATAGAACGCTAATTAGAAACCGAGGCATTTGGCGCTTTCGGCCTTAGAATTTATTGCGATAATTGGTAAGTTGCAACTTGAACTTTTGATTTTGGTAGATTATTTCGTGATGATTAATTTAGTATAAAGAAGAGTGCCTCAAATCAATGACTGACTGTTAAAATTTGGATGGAAATGCCTCAATTTAACGTGACATGCTCCCACATCATCAGAAAAATTCTAGGCCGTGTTTGGAATTGATCACATTTTTATTTTTCAGGTTTTTCGAGAAAAAAATGAAAACGTTTCTAAAACGGCGTTTGACATAATAAAGATAAAAAATGAAAATGAAAATGAATTTTTAATTTAGTGTAAAATGAGAGAGAAATGAAAAATGACTTTTAGTCGTTTTTCATTTTTTGTTTTCGTTTTCTCCTCTCTCGAGCAGAGAGAAAGAGAGAGAGATATCAATGAGTTTTTTTTTATTTTTTATTTTTTATACTGAAAACAATCTCTTGATAAAACTACCAAACACATTTTTAAAAATAATTTCTGTCTGAGATTAAAAACATTTTTATTTTTATTTTCATTTTTATACAAAAAAATAAAATTATTTTGAAATGAGTTTCAAATGCGCCCTTAGTTTTTATTTTTTTGAACTCAACTTAATGGCCTTCATTAATTTAGGACACTCTATAAGACTTTATCACATTTGAGGGTAAGAAAGATTTGAGGAAAAAGCGCTAGAAAACCTAAAAAACTACCAAAAACTAAGTACAATATCTATTGTCATCTATTTTGTTCTCATATATATTGCTTAGTGCTTACCTTCAGTGAAGTTAATTTGTTCAATGGTCCCAGCTCCTCCATCTCCTTGAATCACATCAACACTAGCTATGAACTGAGGCAAGAGCTTTGGTATCAAATTTTTCTGATCCACCATCAAAGCCTTGAAGATGCGGCTCGCCGCAATTGGGCATGAAAAATCTTCTGCCAAGCTTAAAACACCCATGATTTTTGCGTTTTTAATTTTTTATGATGAACAAATATATTGGAAGCTTGTTATATATATATATAAAATATATATATATATATAACAAGCTTGATTTTGAAATGTACAAGTTAGGCAAGGGTTTTCTCAAAAGTTATGATCAGTCAAGAGTTTCAGCCATCGTGAATGCCTTTTGAAACTTCTGTAGCTGCTTAAATTAGACTTGAATAAAGGCCTCCAAGAAATTTTGAGAAATTGTATGCTTTTTTGCACATGGACGGCGCTTATTGGGTTGTTGTGCAGGTTCCTGAAAAGTTGTATTCAAAATCACATATTCTGTTATGGTTTTTTTTTTACCCCATGTTTTGTCTAAGTTTCTACGAGCTCTTTGTAAAGATGACTTAATAGGAATGTTTTATTAGTAAAATAAATTTTTAAAAAATTTTTATTTGTAAAATGACTACATAACGGTCACTTTTACATCAGCCTTCATGAAATTGAAAAAAGAAGTCATTTCGTTCATGGGAAGATGTATAATTAAAGATTAACTCGCCAAAAAGTTTTAATGTCGTTTTAATAGGTGGGAAGAACGGTGGACAAGAAAATTTGTTGGGTCAATTTTGGCAGTCTCTAATTATAAGAATAGCAGGTCAAGTGCTGCTTTTTAAGCCTTTAAAGAGTTTTGTTTAATGCTTCAAATCACCTTGTTACTGTTGGCTCGGGCCTGATTTGATCGTAAATTTTTTGGGTTTAGAGCCGGGTTGGGCCGACCCTCCCTCCTTTAGGGCCGAGCCAGGCTGGGCGTGCCCGAATATCATATTTTTAAAGATTTTTTAAAATATCTTATAAAATTTCAGAACGGGCCAGACAAGCCCTAAACCTTTTGGGCTTAAGGCCGGACTGGGCTGACCCCCTTTCTTTTAACGCCGGGCCGGGCCAGCCTGAAATTTCTCTTTGGGCTACCGAGCCCCGCGGCCCAAACTTACACCTCTAGATTTGACCTCTTGGGATAGATACAATTTCACCATTAATACTTCATTCTCTAACCGCAACATTAAAGAACCAATCTATATGCTTTTATTAAAAGAAAAAAAAAAAGCAAACTTCAAAAGTGAAGCCTAATTATCAGTGTGGTTTTAATGATTACTTTAATATTTTTTCATAAGTGGGTATCAATTAATCCAACAATTGTACTAAATTAGATAGTTGACCAAACTATGACAATTAATAAAATTAAATTCTTATTAAATCATTAAATTTTTATATTTAATAGGTAACCCCTCAACGTAACTATTAAAAACTCATCCTTTTCGCACTAAATTTTTGTGAGTTGCTAGACAGGTAGATTATGGACTTTCCCATTCCATGATCGTTATGGTTCATATGGTAGTTTTGGGCCTACATGGAGATGGTGTTGACGGACGAATGCAAGCCCATCCTGAACCCTTTGGGCTCTGACCCAAATTTTGTTTAGAGCTGCCCTTCTGACCCAAGTTAGGACCACGGATCAAACTAGTCAAATTATAGATACTTGTTTACACAAATCATGTTTTCCCCCACGTTTGCTACTGAAAATCCATCTTATATGGCGATACATGTCCCATTCATTTTAACGATTTGAATTTAAAATTTGAGTTTTACTATAATAAAAAGTTCTTAGAAACAGTCACATTTAACTTTTTTACTACAGTAAAAAATTCTCACATAAAGTCACATCTCAACTCGAATTAAAAACTTGAATCAGCGAACTAAACGGGCACTTAAAGTACATTATTAACTTTGTTTAACTGTGGATTCATGAAAACAACAACGATAGGAAAGCAAAAAAGAAAAAAAAGAAAGAAAGAAAGAAAGAAAAACTCTCAAACAAAGACACCCAAAAACATTATTTGCGTGTCTCACATTATGTATGAAAGCACTTTTTAAGCATATGCTTCAGGATTTTGAATGAGGTAGGCTTCCACAGCTTTGTACATGATCAAGGCCCTGTCTTTGCGAACCTTGATCTCCTCCTTAATGGCCTCATTAAGCTCGATATCACCCTTGGTGTGGTACTTGCTAATCATCTTGTTCTTGCTACCACCTTCCGGGGTTGGCTGAAATTGGACCTCATAAGAAATGCACTCGAGCTTCTCCATTAGCGCTTCGCCTTCAATCAAGCTGTGATTGTATACATACTTCTCTTCGTCAATCTCGTCGACTCGAATCTTCGCCGATCTAAGCTGGCTTTGGCCTGCCCATGTCACACAATTATTAACTAGTGTTTCGAACGACATCAAACGCGACAATTACGACACGTTGGATTCATAGTCACGACCGATTGAGATCAGTTAAGACAATCATAATAGTAACTACACTAGGCATTTCTTGTAATAATCTACGTTCAACGTTGTACATACTAGTTCAAAAAAATAATTTCGCAAACTTGACTATCTCTCATATTAGTGTTAGTCAACAAAAAGAGGGTTAATTTTACAAAAATATACAAATATATACTATAAGGAGTAGTAGTAGCAATTTATTAATTTGTGTCACATGCCTTGAACGACATTGATCTGCTTGATGCTTCCAGCTACCTTTCCATCACCATGGATAATCTCAATGCTCTTGACTGCTTGTGGCATGATCTTTGGGATCAGATTGTGAGAATCAAGGACCAAAGCCTTGAACAACCTAGCCGGAGGAATTAGACAAATGTACTCGTCTGAGGAAGTGAAAACTCCCATAATATATTATTCTTGTAATTATATTATGTGTTATAACTAGAAGAATTAAATTAGCCAAGAGAGAAGAAAATGGAAGATGAGATTTGCTTTCGGGTTGATTTATATTGGTCGATGTCTATTTACTCTTAATCGGCTTTGTTGCTTGAAAATCGTAATCTATGTCACAATGCAATGTGGGCGTTATTTTCTTGGTTGATTGTGATTTTCCCTATAATTCATATAAAAAGATAATAGAAAATTTAAGTGATTTATACCTATTAGAAAAATATAAAAAGAATAATTTACAATATAAAAAGAATATTATAGTTTTTGAGGGGTTGATTTATATTGGTTGATGTTTATTTATTCTAAATGGGCTTTGTTGCTTGAAATCGTAATCTATGTCACAATGCAATGTGGCGCTATTTTAATGGTTGATTGATTTTCCCTATAGTTCATATGCAAAGATAATAGAAAATTTAAGTGAGTTTAGAAACGCTAATTGCATTTTTTTTTTGGTTGGTTGAGATCAAAGATTGATTATTATAACAGGTCAGCATCTCGTTGGAAACATAAAAAAAAAATCCCGGCCTTATTTGTTAGTTGTTATGTCCTAAAGTATATGCCTTGATTCTTGTTTTAAGAGAAATATTATTAACATACGATTGTGGTACAATATGATTAATCAAATAATTCCTCGCCTCACATTTGATTCTCTAATATTATAAGAGTATATGCTGCTCTGTCTACCCCAAATTAACCTTTTTCTAACATCAATAAATTCCAACAAAACAATCATTATTATACTATGTACACATTCAAGGCACATTTAATTGTCTTTGTTTTTTTAATGTTATTTTGTTTGCATTATTTCTGTTTGTACAAGAAGCAAGAGACAAATTTTGCCATGTATTGTATAAGTTATCTGTTTTTATACTTGGTTGATAAAGAAGAGAAAAGAATAATAAAGAGAGTTTTCCTATAGACAATAATTATAAAGAGAAGAAAATAAAACGTTATCACAACTTTTTATTGCTTGATGTTAATAAAACAATATGGACCCATACTTATATATAGTTATTGTGCATGTGGCTTATTGTGTTTATAGATCTATTTCCCTTTGTCGTTTGCTTATCCACTTCTGAGTAGATGTAGGGAGAAAGCATATATATAATGAGATTCCAAATCATCCAAGATGGAAAAAATTAATTATTGTTATTTTATTAATTTAGGAAGTTTCTGGTTGTCCTTCCCTGCCCGTAGTGTCACTTTTTAACCGTTAGATCTGGTTAAAATCACATCATATTAAAAAAAATACAAAATAGATAGATTTTAATATAAATCTGACAGTTAAAAAGTAAAACACACTGATAGTCTCATTTTTACAGGGACTATCAGAGAAACTCTCATTATTTTATTATTGTTATAACGTTTGAACATATTCCTGCACCAGAAAATCATGTTACTAGGCCGTCCATTCCTGACAAACAAATAATAATAATAATAATAATAGTAATAATAATAATATTATTATTGTTATTATTATTATAAGCCTTTGAATATATTCTTGTACCAGAAAATCATGTTAATAGGACGTCCATGTTGGACTTGATGAACAAACTGGATTCTCCTCTCCTAAAAGTTAAAATATTCATTATTGGACATAGTATTGATGAAGACCATTTTTCACCATAACACTTTAATTAAGTAAATGAGGGTAATTTTATGGTAACTAGGAACATCAAGTTAAAGTTGGCCATTCAGGCATGCACACCGGCCTTGCAAGATCCTCTCAAAAGGCGTTTAAATAGTCTTTCTAGAATTTGAAAGAAATATATTGACAATGACTAATATATAGCTAAAAAACTCGTGTAAGATAAGAATATACACCCTATCATTACATGGGATCATATCATGTTCTTAAAGCAGAACATTCAACGGCAAATAGTTAATGTGTTGTGAATATATATCATGCATTTTTTAATAGGGTGGTTCTATTTAAATATCTCTTTTTACTCTCCACACTTTTTTTTTTATTTTAAATTTTCTTGTGACAAAAAATCCTCACCTACCATGACAAAAAAGGTAAATCATGACATATTTAATCATATAATTAATTTAATTAAAAAATTAGATTAATTATATAGTTTTTATCTCCCTCCACAGACTCATGTTATATCCTAAATTATAAACTATTGCTATATTAAAATTTATAAAAAAACCTCTAATTTTCAATTTTCAATAACTATTTCAAAAAGTTGTATTGATATAATGTTAAATTTTCTTTGCTATTAATTATATGACGATTTTTATTTGTTTTTTATTTCATGTTTGTATCTTTTACTGATTTTATTTTATTTTATTTTTTGTAAAAGTTAATCATTTTACTTTGTTTTTTTATTTCATTTTTACTGATTTTTATTTCATTGTTTGTATCTATTTTTTTTTTTTGTTTTGAAAAAAGGCTTCACAAGCAAAACTTCAGTTAAAAAAAAAAAGAACAAAATAAGATATGAAAGGATAGAGAAATAATACTATTTAAATAACAAACTAAAAAAAATGGTGATTGTGCATTAAACTAAATAAAATATGTAAATGTAAAAAAAATGAAAAAAAATTTAACGGTTCAAAATTAAGAAGTACTCTCGGTCAATGGAGACTTTTGGTATCTTATCATAGAAGTCTACATATTTTCTTACCTTTGAACCGAATTGATGTGTTAACTAGTCTTCTTCATTAGATTAAAAGTGACATTATACAGTAGAAAATGAAACTCCGAAGATTGCTGCAAGATCGTCTCGCTTATATTAGGGGTCAAATTAACAAGAGTATCCCTTACAAGGGGCTTAAAATTTAGTATTAGAGTCATGATCAAGCACAATTCAACCATTATACATTCCTTTTTGGGGGTTTTTTTGTTTGTTTGTTTTTTTTCCCATAACTTTCTAGATGGTCAATGCTCAATATATATTTAAAATTTAAATCATATACATTAGAGACTTTTGACAGCCATTTTTTTTTTTTTTTTTTGGGTAAGGTCGTCGTCCTTTAGAAAGACACGCAATTGAACCGGTATTAAGAAAGTAGAAAATAATGCGTGTAATTGTGAACAATTCTACATTAATCCTATCTTCAATTAAAATCCGTCACTTATTGAGTATTTTTTCAATATCTAGACGCACAAGATCTGCTAGTCTTTTCACTTAATTTGGCCATTAGTTTAAAGTGAAAATTGGGATTGACTTAATTCATACTGTAATTATGAACCTGCATGTGATTTCCTTTTTTTTTTTTTTTTAAAAAGAGAAAAACTGCATGTGATGAGTTTGATGTAGAACTAGGGAGAGAAAAGAGAAGAGAGAAGAGAAAGAGGAGAAATTAGAGAGGAGAGAGAAAGAAAAGAAGAAATTTGGGAGAGAGAGATGACGGGGAAGAAAAAATCAAGTGAGAGAAATAATTCTATCTAATATTTATCAATCAAAAGTCTGAATTGCTTGTAAGAGTGTAGTCAATTTATAGGTTAATTAAATAATTAAAATGAAAACTATTGTATCAAATTAAATACATTAAATCAGAAAACTTTCCAAAAATTAATAAAATAAGAAAAGTAGAAAAAATCAATCCTAATTTATTTGTTTATTTTATATTTATCTTCCTCATAGTCTACTCTTATTTCTCATGAGATTTATACTTTTTCTCATAAAAAAAAATTGTACAGATTAATTATTCTTTCAAGTTGCTCCATAATTTAATTAGTACACTTTGATTGCAATAGCAACCTACTAATTAGTAGATCTACTTAAGATCAAGTGATGGATTTAAAATCAACTTGCTCCATAATCAAGTCACGGCGACTTAAAATCTACCGACAAATTACAAGCTATTTCTTAAAAGTAGGACATATGCATCCTTGACCTTGGTCATACATTAAGGCAGATGCATCTGTGGGTAGCGTTCATTATAAATAGACACCCCTCCTTAGCAGCCACGGAAATTAATATAGTACTTCATATATATATATATATTCCTTTTATTTTGTTTTGTGTTTTTGTTTTTCTTGTCTTGGCTAAGAGCTTGTAATTAGTTAGACCATCTCTAATGTAAATATTAATATTAATTGTATATTTATTATTAAAAAATGTGATATGATGTGTTATTTTTATTTTTATTGTAATACATAATGCTATTTGAAATGCTAAATTTATTTTTTTTCCATAATTATTAAACTTTGAAAGTTGTAAAATTAAACTTTATGTTTAAAATAATTAAAAAATGCAAAAGTTGCATTGATTACATAAAAAAGTAAACATTTAACTAACGACAATCAAATGCCAAATTTCTCATATGTTATATTTAGTGAAAAATTTACCACAAAGTATAGCATATGAGAAATTTGGCACAGTAAAAGCATTACATTGGAGAGTATTTTTTACAATCAAATGTTAAATTTACAATTAACACATTAATTATAATATTGCATTCGAGATACTCTCATATATTAAAACAGCTACATTTTATATAGCTTTGAGGCAGCTTCTTAGAAGCCATAGCAATAATTAATATTGTAACACGTTGCTATGTGTTTGTTTGATACGGCCTGAATAAAAGTAATTAATTTATTATAAAGTTTTATTCGTTTGATGTACTATTATTCTAAGTTATCATCACGAAATTAAGGCCAGCTTGCAACTTAAGTAATGCTTCCCCCATCTTTTAGTACCACGTTCGCCTGACTTTTCAAAAGTAATTTAATAATACTAGTGAATCCATTTCAACTAGTAAAAATAATACTAGTGAAGTTCATAACTTCTGAATACTACGTTCACCAACTAAGTGTTATTATCAAATGGATATCATAAAAGGTGAACGTCTATTTGTATGACGTCTAGCATAAAATTGACTTATGGGATGACTTTGTAAGTATGATAAAAATAAAATTGTTTGTTTGCTTGTTTAAAGACGTTTGCCTCTAGGACAATGACAGATATTATTAATGAAAAATGTACTCGTTATGCAAAATGCAAATTTTAGACTTTTTTTTCTTCTGCCAAAGAAAAGAAAAAATGTTAGACTTGTGTAAAAATGTTGAATACATCCCCATCTCAGGTGTCATGAGCTTGTTTTGCAAGTATAAAATATGTTTTAGGCTTCAATTTTAACTGGGGCGCCGTTGAATATTTGCAGAATGATCCCTAGATGGTGAGCCCTTGTTTAAGGAAGCTTGTTAATTGACTAGGGATGAGATTAGCAAATGTCCTTATTTATAATTGATCAAGTCAGTTATTTGGCAGAATTTGCGTTCAAATTTTGGGGATCATATGGTAAGATTTTTCTAAGTGCAGTCTTTTTTTAAGTCTTAAAAAGGTAGTACAGTAAATTACATATCTCCAATATGTGATTCAATGTGTATTGGATAGAGAATAGAAAGATGTAGCAAAAAATTAACCAAGATGCAGGGGGATGACACACAGATGAATCACAAGAACTCTTTTAGTGCAAGATATATCATCATCATATTATTATTGTAAAAGATACAATGCTTTCTCAAACATTTGAATGCAAACGGTATTATTTCAACTCCACACTCTTATTGGCAAGCCTAGAAATTAAGTCCAGGCTACAAAACAACATGAAGGGCACACCCTTTAGCTTACAGAAAAAAAAAAAAAAATTGACAAGCATATGGTTCAACTGATTTAGTTGTAAGCGTCGGGGTTCGCGATGAGGTAGCCTTCGACGAGCTTGAACAGACCGACGGCCTTTTCTTTTCCTTCCTTAGCCTTCTCTTCATTGACCGGGGCATCTCCAATGGTGTAGAACTTGGTGTTGACCTTAATGATCGTTCCTCCATCTGGGGATGCCACGAACTTGGTCTCGTGAGAGATTTTCTCGAGTTCAGAAGACAAAACATCTCCTTCGATCAAGCTGTGGCTGTAGCTCAAGTTGTCGAGGTCAACTGCATCAAGCTTTTGCTTCACATACTTGCCTGCAAATGAAATTTCACATGAAAATTTTGATTTGGTTCGAAATTTGCATATATATACCATCTTTATTGTACTTTTACCTTCAGGGTATCTAATTAGTTGTAACAAAGAAAAAAGAAGAAAGGGATTGAAATGGAAAGAAGCATCATTTTATTTAAGTACAAACTTATCTGCTAATTACTATATATTAAGAATTGAAATTGTATTCCTAATTTAGTGAGTAAATACAAGAACACATGAAAAAAAAAATAAACTATTCCCTTATTCTCTTTCAATTGAACATATGTAAAATATGTTATCAAAATCATATATACATAGGATCATGGAGATAAAGAAAAAAGTTTACTTACCATCGGGAAAGGTGAGTTTCTTGACAGTTCCAACACCTCCATTTCCTTCGACCGTCTCGGCACTTTTAGCAGCTTGGGGAGCAATTTTTGGGAAAAGGTTGTCAGCATCAAGGACAGAGGCCTTGAACAATCTAGCGGGAGCAACATTGGCGGTGAACTCATCGTCGAAAGAGTAAACACCCATGATGATCTAAGTTTTCGAATGGGATCAAAGAGGAAAATATAAGGAAGGATTGTTTTGGACTCTGAGGTGTTTTGTGTTGAAAAGATGTGCATATAGAGGTCCCATTTATAGGCTAAGCCTGAGGGTAGCTCAGTAAGAATAATCCCTTGTTTATTGAATACTTAAGCAAGTAGATATTTTTTTTATTGGATGCTTACATGATTGAAGAGAAAATTATTATTATTTTTGCCCTGTCAAAAAATTATGATTATTTTAAAATAAGGAGCATTTTAGTCAAAGAAGGCATCTCTCGATCGGTTGATTGAATATGTAAAATTTATCTTAAATGTGAAATAGTTCAATATGCAGGGAAATTTTTTTTATTATTTATGTGAACTGCATGAAAATTCAAATGGCATAAAATAGTAGGAAAAAAAAAAAGAAACTTTGCGGTACTGGAGATCAGGAACTTGAGGGCATGAAACTTCATTTATGCCATTGTCTTTTTTATTGGCGTCCTTAAATAGAAAAATAACTAGTTACAACAAAATTTTCACAAGATACCTTATAAAGCATAAATCAATATTCATCCATGCTTTATATATTACCTGTTTGGATCATTGATGACTGCTTTTTTTTTTTTTTTTGTTGGGATAGTGTTGGTTTGGAATGGGAAGGGGCTACCTCAAGATTTGTATTTTCTTTTTGTTTTTTTTTCCCAATTAATTTCAAGACTTGAAGTTTGACTTCTAAATTTTCCAGCCAGTCAGTAATCTGCATTTATAATCAGCAAATCTCTCTTTTCTTTTTTATTTTGGACTATAATACATGAAAACACATTTTTTTTTTTTTTTGGGTTCTAAGATCTTATTCCCACCGATCTAACACGCCCCTCAGTTTTCACACTTTGTTCCATGTGGTCTGCCCCCAATAAGGAATGGTTCTGGATAAAAATTCCTTGTTGATGCATACAATTTCAGGAGTAATTTTGTTATTAAAAGGTAATTAAGAAAGTACATTAAGACTAATAAATCTTCCACTTCAGCCAAGGGACGCCATAACTTTCACATAACCATGTCTCTCTCTCTCTATATTAACGAAAATACTATGCACTTTGGTCCATCTAAATTATTAAAGTTTGAAATGGTCAGTTTATATCCTAAATCAATTATAAAAGTAATTTCCTCCTACAATTCAATGCTTTTCCTATTGGAAATGGCTGGTCCGAATCGGGTTTCTGATTTTTTTTTTTTTAATTTTTTCGCCGTAAAATATATATGGATAACAAAAATACTTCAACCATTATATTTGGTTGTGGAATTATATGTATAAACAGGATTAGAGGAATGCGGTCCGTTTGTTCGTTTCTTTGGACGAATTATTCTTCCTGTGTTGCCATTTAGAATTTGGTTCTTTGATGAGGGCAGCAAAATGGAAACGACGGGAAAAAAGAATTAAAAAAAGAGAAAAAACGAAACGGAAAACAGTAATAAAAGAAATGACAACGACAAGAGTTATATAAGGACTAAAAAGTGAACGGCCAAAAAGGAGAAACAACAAAAAAAGAGATTGAACGATAAAAAAATATAAAACGATATCAAAACAGAGAAAGTTGAAAGACCACTATAAACTATAAAGTTAGAAAGCGACAACATGCGATAAACGGTAAAAAAAAAAAAAAAAGGTTTTAAGAAAATATATCATATGCCTTTAAAAATGTGATTTTATTGAATTGACATAATAGAAATAAGTACACATAAATGACTGTATCGTTAAAAACCTTACCAAGTAAAACTCATGGGGAGATCGGGTCAAAACCTTAGCGAAGGAAAAAAGAGTGCAGTAGAAATAGTAAATTACAAACCTAAGTGCTTTCAGAAGATTTCGTTATTTCTAAGTTAAAAAAATAGTCTTGCGTTGAATCATCTGTGTATTGTTGTTTTCGTCTTCTAGTATATTCCCAGTCTTTCACGCACATTAGCCCCTCCAAGATATTTGGATACATTCTACTTCTCTTCTCGTTAAGAATTCGGTTGCTTGTGCTAAATGCTTGCTCCGATGCTACCGTTGACACTGGAGTTGTCAGAATGTCACGAGCTATTACGGATAGTGTTGAAAAATGATCGGTCTTGCTCTTCCACCACTATAAGATGTCTAGTTTGTCGTCATCGATTACAAAATTTGCTTCAAAATATTTTACTAGTTCAATAGACGCTTGTGTTGATGACGATCCTGTTGTTTTCTCATTCTTCTTCAAGAAACTCCACGACGATCCTTTAGCCCCGAACTGCTAGTTGACGTCGAAGTTCCCTGTTCTTTTTGACCTGTGCCGTATTTTGCTTCATACAAGCTAAATACCTTTTCTAACATTTTCTTAGTGCCAATAATAGTTTGTTGCATATCAATTCCTAAATTTTTTGCTATAGGAGTCATCAATGATTCAATCCCATATACTCCGCACCTAAGATCTACAATGGTTGCTAATGCATATAACATAGGACAACCTGACCAATAACTTTTAAATTTAGCTTCCATTAACTTAACCATGTCTCCAAAAAGTTATGTATCCCTATAATAAGAAAATATTTTTGAAATATTAAATATTTTATGTAAAGCTAAATGTGCAGTAGGATAATAAACTCCAGCATTGTAAAAAATTTCTAGAAATTTAAAAAACCACTCACCAATCTACCAATCCGTATAAAAAATTAAAAGTTGATCGTTCTTAATGTTTACATATGTCGTGATAAGCTGTAAATACGGAAGTGCTGCCTTCAACATTAAATAGGTGGAATTCCACCTATGTCTCACGTCAGTTGGGAACTTTCTTAGGCGCATCTGACTGTTCCTGCAATATTATTTAAATTCTTGGAGCCAAACTCCAGAACTAGATATGAAGGATAAAGATTCTCTAATATTTGTTAGATTAGATGAAATATGTTCAATTCCTGCCTGAACTACTAAATTGATTATGTGACATGCACACCGTTGATGAAAATTCCCCCCACCCCAAACGCTGGTTTCAAACTACGTTTAAACATGTTAATTGCAGCCGTATTAGCTGATTCATTATCAAAAGTAATAGTTCAAACTTTATCTTATATCCCATAAAATCCAAAAATTTCCATTATTGTACCAAAAATAGATGATGCGTTATGAGGATATGGACATAAACGAAAACCTATTATTATTTTTTGTAAAACCCATTCGTCATCAACATAATGCGCCGTGGCGCATAAATATGCAGTTCTATTGCACCTTTCCCATAGATCAGAAGTGCAAGATACAATAGTATTAAAAGTCGTAAAATTATCAACAAGAGATTGTCTCATTGCAAACAGAACGAGTTGTGTTTCTACTTACCTGTTTAAATTGTTGGCAGAAGGCCCTCTGGATGAATTCTTCGAACGACTCATCTGCAAAAGAAAGAGGCAATCCGGAACTAGCTAGAAATTTAGCTAGTGCCTCAAGAGCAGGTTGTGCATCGTATGTAAAATGTTGCAACACCTGTGATGTGAGTGATAGTGTTTGTTGGCGGGAGTCCACACTCCCACCTTGGTGCAACGGTAGACATACTTTCTAATGTCTATCCAGATGACCAGTACCCCCACCATTTTTATTAGAAAACTGTTTTTACAATACTTACATACCGCACGAATTTTCATTTCACCTGTTTTTGGATTTGGTCGGGGCTCCTCGGTGAAATACTACTATGCAAGAGAAGTTCGCGGTCTTTTTTTCCTGGTGCGTTCTCTAGCTTCCTCGTTGTGCACTGAAGCATTATCTACTGGAGCACTTTCTGGTTGAGTGGGGTTGGGGTTGGGAGGCATCATTTCATCATCGAAAAATGGCTCATCACCAAGCTCAGGAAGAGCAGTGAAATCAGAGAAGTTTGATGTGGCCATTTTCTGAAAATTGATTAAACTTAAACTTTGTAAATGAAAGAACAAGAAAATGAGTGATCGCGAGAAAAAAACTTAGAATCAAAATCAAATAGACAAGATGCTTGATAGAATGAGAGTGAGATGAGAAGTTGAGAGTGAATTGTTGTATGGGATTTAGGGTGGAATTAAGGGGTACTTATAGGGGATTTTTTGAGGAATTTTCGGATTGTGACAGTTAGGCCCTTGGCGAGCCCAACGGTCGGCCTGTGATGGGCCTAACGGTAGGCCCGTCATGGGCCAAACGGGAGGCCTGTCACGGGCCGACCGTTGGGCCCGCGAAGGGCCCAACGGTCACATTTTGAACAGGCTGCGGGCCGTTTGGCGGGCCTCGGCCGAGCCAAACAAGGGCCGAATCCAGGCTTGGGCTGAACTGGGCTTGGGCCGGACCGCGGGCCTTCACGGGCTAGGGCCGTGGGCTGAGAAGCCGAGGCCCAGCCCTAGCCCATCAAACGTGCCGGGCCGGCACGGCCCGTAATAGTACCGTACCGGGCCATGTCGAATCCAACACTGTTACGGGCTGGGCCGGGCCGTCCATGGACGGCCTGGCCCATTTGACAACTCTAGCAACGTTTATAGTCTAAATCAGTGTAAATTTTTCTCTAGAATTCGATGGATGATTTCGGTATTTGGAAATGGCTGTCAAAATTAATTTGTATAGTCAACTTTTGCTATATACATAAATATATATATATATATTTATTTATATTATTTCGGCCTACTTTCATATTTTAAGTTATCATCATTAATGGCCGGCTGAAACTAATATTTCTTTCCCCCATCTTTTGGTACCACGTTCACTTGACTTTGCAAAAGTAGTTACATAAAATAAAACTAGAGAAGTTCATAACTTGTGAATACCTAGCCAAGATTTGCTGTCCTATTTTTTTTGTCTCGGTAGCTATCCCTTTAATTAAATTTTAACACATTAAAAATTGTTTAAGTATTTTTAGTTTTTTATTTTTATACGTATAGTTAGATTTTTAAATTTAAATAATATGATAAATAAATAGTGAATGGACAACTATCGAGACAGAAAAATAGAGACGATACATCTGAACTCACATTCACCAACTAGTGTTATTATCAAATGGACATAATAAAAGTTGAATGTCTATTTGTATGATGCCTAGGATAAAATTGACTTATCGGATGACTTTTTTGAG